CCCCTGTGTAATCCTTTCCCATTGAATCTGGTATGGTCCTATATCTTGCTTATGACCAACAGTATATGGTAAGTCACATACTGTTGGTCATAAGCTTCTACCTGGTTCTTCTGGAACACTCACTCCTGGAACACTCGTTCCTGGAACCCAGTTGCCATTCTGAGAAGCCCAGGTCACAGAGAGTGGCCACATATAGGCCATGTCACCAGCACTAGCTAAGCCATTGTCAACTACCAGCATGTAAATGAGCCATCTTGGATGCACAGCTCAGTTGAGGCTTCAGATGACTCTAGCCTCAGCTGTTGACTGCACCTCATGAGAAAGAGACTCCAAGTGAGAATTTCCCATCTGAGCCCAGCCTACCACAGAAACATGAGACACAGTAATACATTGTTGTTTAAAGCCACTAAATTTGGGGATGGTTTATTATATGGCAACAGATAACCAGAGGGGTGACTTTGACAAGAGCAGTTCAGTGGAATAATGGTAACAGCGTGAATGGGGGAGTGTAGACTTTTTTCTCAGGAAATGTGGTTGTGGCTGGTGTGAGAGGTGGAATACAGAATTTGTTTATGTTTAAGACAGGCTATATACAAAGCATGGTTGTATGTTCATGATGATGATGCTTGAAGACAGGGAAAGACTGACGAATAAGAGAAAGAAAAAGTGAAACATTAGTGTCTTGGGGAAGGCAGGAGAGGAGGAATCTAGAGCTAGAAATAAAAGAAAAAAAAAATGGGTGTGGAAGTGAACCCAAAGCTTCAGAGCTTTTCATACAAGTGGCATCTATTTTTTCAAGGAAGTACATGGAAAGGTCATCAGCTGAATAAGAGGGTGTGAAGATGGAGAAGTGGGAGAAGTTTGAAAAAAGGAGACAAGGTTGGGCAAGGTGGCTCACGATGTAAATCCAGCACTTTGGGAGGCCAAGGTGGGAGGATTGCTTGAGCCCAGGAGTTTGAGACCAGCTGGGCAACATAGTGAGACCCCATCTCTACAAAAAATTAAAAAATTAAAATTAGTCGAGTATGATGGTGTGCGCCTGTAGTCTCAGCTACTCGAGAGGCTAAGGCAGAAGAATCTCCTGAGCCCAGGAGGTCGAGGCAGTGGTGAGCACTGTACTCCAGCCTGGGCGCGATAATATGAAATAGTCATATCAGAAAGTAAGAGTTGTAGCAGAACTCTAAAAATAGCCTCCTGAGATTCTAACACTTCCTAATCCCTGAAAACTGTGAATAAGATTTTACTCCCATGACTGCATTGCGTTATATGGCATTTTTTTAATTTTAAAAAGGGAGATTATTCGGATAGGCATAATCTAATCCCATGAACCCTTAAAAACAGAGAACTCTATCTGACTGGCTGCAGAAGAGGATCCCAGGATGTTTCAAGGAACCTGGCAAAAGGTGCCATTGAGCCCATTATGCTCCCTGCTTTCTTGCTGTTTCTTGAGGTCCTGGGTATGTCCCTCTCAGATTTCTAGCTCTGCTATTTTTGTCCTGAGTTCTCTGAGTTCATTTGCATGACTGTATTTCTGGCTGGATCCAGAGGTCAAACTGAGTGTTTGACAGGAACTGGACTAGGTTCAGTCTAGTACACTAGATTCCAGACTAAGTCTAGACTCCAGACAAAATTTTTTCTTAGGAAATGTGGCTGTGGCTGGTATGGGAGGTGGAGTACAGAAGAATTTGCTTATGGTTAAGATAGGCTACACAAAGCATGGTTGTATGTTGATGGTTGAAGTCGAACTGGTGTTTGACAGGAACTGGACTGGGTCCAGTAGGAGGCCTCGGGTAAGTAAAATTTTAGAAGGATGGGATATTATGAGTTTGTCAGAATCTAAGGAGTCTAAGACTCCTTGACCTGGAACTCTAGCTAATTTTATGCTCAAAAATTACGTACCCAGAACCTGAGCCTTTCTAGAGAAATAGGTGCATTTCAGGAAGATTAATAAAGCTACAGTAGCCACAGTGTGGAAGATTAAATCTAGCTGAGATTATTCATCTAAGGGAATATTAGCAAAAGGGGGAATTCCTAAGGCTTCAGAAACAATGAGATACATTTTTTGTTTTTGTTTTTAGTTGGAGTCTCACTCTGTTGCCCAGGCTTGAGTGCAGTGGCACCATCACAGCTCACTGCAGCCTCAACCTCCTGGGCTCAGGCAATCCTCCCACCTCAGCCTGCTGAGTAGCTGGGACTACAGGCACATGCCACTATACCTGGCTTTTTTTTTTTTTTTTTTTTTTTTTTTTTTGTAGTGATGAGGTCTTGCTACGTTGTCCAGGCTGGTCTCAAACTCCTGGGTCCAAGCAATCCTCCTGTCTTAGCCTCCCAAAGTGCTGGGATCACAAGCATAAGCCACTGCAGCTGGCTGAGATACATTTTTTTATTGGTACAAAGGCTTCCAAAAGACAGAGTGACTCAACAAAAAGTAGGCTCTCTAAAGGAATCCCTACAGTACACTAATGAAAAATTATTCTGAATACACTAACTTCTTTCATCACTTCTTTTTCTTTTTAAAAGGTTTTATTTACTTTTATATTTTTTTAATTGACAAATAATAATTGTACATATTCATGGAGTACATGGTGATATTTGATATATAAAATGTATGGCAATCAGAACAGAGTAATTAGCATATCATCACCTCAAACATCTATAATTTCTTGGTGTTGAGAACATTCTATATCCTCCTTCTAGCTATATGAAACTACCATTGTTAATTATAGTCATACTATCGTGGCATAGAAACACTAGAATGTATTCTTCCAATCTAGCTGCAATTACATATCCTTTAACAAATCTCTCCTTACCCCTCCCTCCCTCCTGTTCTTCTCAGTCTCTAGTATCCTGTTCTTTTTCAAGTCTATGAGATCGACTTTTTTAGCTTCCATACATGAGAACATGAGGTTTTTTAACTTTCTGTTTCTGATTTATTTCACTTAACAGAATGTCTTCCAATTCCATTCATGTTGCTGCAAATGACAGGATTTCATTCTTTTTTAATGACTGAATAGTATTTCGCTGTGTATATATACCACATTTTCTTTATCCATTCAGTTAAGTTGATTCCATATCTTGGTTATTGTGAATAGTACTGCGACAAACACAGGGGTACAGACATCTGTTTGATACAAAAATTTCCTTTCCTTTGGATAAACGCCCAGTAGTGGGATTGCTAGATCATATGGTAGTTCTATTTGTAGTTTTTTGCGGGGCCTGAATACTATTCTCCACAATGGCTGTACTAATTTGCATTACTATCAACAGTGTGTAAGTTCCCTTTTCTCTGCATCCTCACCAGCATTTGTTATTTTATTTTATTTTTTGAGTTGGCGTATCACTCCGTTGCCCAGGCAGGAGTGGCAGTGGCACACTCACAGCCACCCCAGTGTCAACCTGCTGGGCTCAGGTGATCCTTCCATCTCAGTCTTCCAGATAGCGGAACTACAGGTGCACACTATCACACCTGGCTAATTCTTTGATCTATCGTAGAGATGAGGTCTCACCAAGTTGCCCAGACTGTTCTCGAAGCCATGGGCTCAGTTAATCCCCTTACCTTGGCCTCCCAAAGTGCTGGGATTACAGGCTTGAGTCACATTTTTTTGTCTTTTTGAAAATAGCCATCCTAACTAGAGTGAGATGATACCTAATTGGGGTTTTGATTTGCATTTCCCTGATGAATAATGATGTTGAGTATTTTTCATATATTTGTTGGCCATTTGTATGTCTTCTATTGAGAAACAAATATCTATTCAGGCCATTTGCCCATTTTTAAAATCTGGTCATTTGTTTCTTTGATTTTGTTTTTTTGCTGCTTGGATATTTCTACTCCTTGTATATTCTGGATATTAATCCTCTGTTGGAGCAGTAGTTTGTAATATTTTCTCTCATTCTGCAGGTTGTCTTTTTGTTCTATTGATGGCTTTCTTTACTGTGCGGTTTGTTTGTTTTGTTTTGTTTGTTTGTTTGTTTTTTGAAATGGGGATCACACTCTGCTGCCCAGGCAGCAGTGCAGTGGCACCATCACAGCTCACCACAGCCTCAACCTCCTGGGTTCAGGCAATGCCTCCACCTCACTCAGTCTCCTGAGTAGCTGGGACTACAGATGTGCACAACCATGCCCAACTAATTTGTGTGTGTGTGTGTGTGTGTGTGTGTGTGTGTGTGTGTGTGTGTGTGTGTGTTTAAATGAGGTCTTGCTGGTCTGAACTCCTGGGCTCGAGCAATCTGTCTGTCTTGGCCTCTCAAAGTGCTGGGATTATAGGCATGAGCCACCACACTCAGCCTCAGCAGCTTTTCAGTTTGAGATAATCCCATTTGTTTGTTTTTGGCTTTTGTTGCCATGTGTTTGAGGTCTTATTCATAAAAATCCTCAGATAAATGTCCTGAAATATTTCCAGTTTTCTGTTAGTAATTTTATCATTTCAGGTCTTAAATTTAGGTCTTTGGCCAATTTTGAGTTGATTTTTGTATAGGGTGAGAGGTGGGTGTTTATTTCCATTGTTCTGCATATGAATATCCAGTTTTCCCACCACCTTATTGAAGAAACTGTCCTTTTCCCCAATTACTGTTTTTTGTGTCTTTGTCAAAAAGCAATTAGCTGTAGATATATGGATTAACTTCTAGGTTCTCTATTCTGTTCCATTGGTCTATGTCTGTTTTATATGCCAGTACCATGCTATTTTGGTTCCTGTAGCTTTGCAATATATTTCAAGATCCGAAAGTGTGAAACCTCCATCTTTGTTCTTTCTGCTCAAAATTGCTTTGGCTATGTGGGATCTTTTGAGGTTCCATACAATTTTTTTTTTCTATTTCTGCAAAGAATGTGATTGGCATTTTTATGGGGATTGCAGTGACTATGCAGACTGCTTTGGGCAACACCATCACATTAACAATATTAATTCTTCTAATCCATGAGCACAGGATGTTGTTCCCCTTCTTTGTATACTTATTTTCTTTTGTGTTTTCTTTCTTTCTTTCTTTCTTTTTTTTTTTTTTTTGCCCTGTACAGTTTTATTAACCATTCAAGTTCAGTAGCATCTGGTAAGATTGGGACAGAATTGGGATTAAAAAGTGAACAGATATTCAGCATCCAACAGTTCAAAAGAAGCCACTACAAACTCTTTTCACAAATATGTTTTCACAGAGCCAATACAGTACTAGCCATGAACCCAGTACACCAAGTGCACTGAAGTAGAAAAGATGCAACAAGAAAAATAGCTATATTAGAAAGACCAACACTTTAGAAAAAGAGTAAAACACTTTCAGTTTCTCCCCTTTAGGCCTTAAAACAACATCTTACAGTCTGGATCTACCTATACAGTCCTACATTAGCTTCTAGAATGTTTGTCAGGAGGGAAAGAATAAAATGACACTGGCCAGTACAGTCTTTGGATATTTAGGAAGGGGACGCGGGGAAGTCAGTTCTCTGAACAAGTTAGTCAGCTTCAGTCTCATCAGCAGGATCTTTGGATTCTTTGTTCTTCCGCACTTCTTCAATGTGCTTATCCTTCTCTCGCAAATGCTCCAGTTTGGCAGCCATTTGTGCCTCTCGGTTCTCTTTGTTAGCTTCCATCTTGTGGGTCATTTTACAGAAGTTGTTGTTTTCCTCTATTGCTTTCTGGAGCACTTCTTTCTCATTCTCTCAGCAAGCTGCTTCAAGACCTCCACTTCATGGGACTTTCGTCTTTCTTCTGCAGCTTCTAATTTCTTCTGAATTTCCTCCAGGGAAAGATCCTTCTTCTTTGGAGGGGAAAGGGGGAATTCTGGAATGGATTCTTTTGACCAGGGGCTGAGAATAAGCTCAAAAGCCTGGCCTGAGGCACGCTTCTCCAGTTCTTTCACCTGAATATCAGAAGAAGCCATGGTGAATAGAAGAGACTGGCAGTGTACCCTTCACAGTCCACTGGGGTAAGGAAAGCCCTGCTCAGTCCGAGCCGCCTGACTACACTCTGAGTACCAACAGACCCAGGAGCTCACCTGTTAGTGTTTTCTAGTTTGCCTTACAGAGGCCTTTCATCTTCTTGGTTAAATTTATTCCTAGGTGTGTGTGTGTGTGTGTGTGTGTGTGTGTGTGTGTGTGTGTGTGTGTGTCCATTATAAATGGCCTTCTTTATTTCTTTTTCAGCTAGTTTGTTGTTCATATATAGAAACTGCTGGTTTTTTGTATATTAATTCAACTTTATTGAATTTATTAGTTCTAAAAGTTTCCTGATACAGTCTTTAGGTTTTTCTATTAATAATATCATGTCAATAGCAAATAGAGACAATATTATTTCCTCATTTACAATTTAGATGCCTTCTATTTCTTTCTCTTGCCTAATTGCTCAGGCTAGGATTGCCAGTATTATCTGAGTAAGGGCAGTGAAAGTGGGCACCCTTGTCTGGTTCCAATTCTTAGAGGAAAAACTTTTAGCTTTTTCTCTGTTCAGTAAGATGTTGGCAATGGATTTCTCACATATGTCCTTTATGATATTGAGGTACTTTCCTCCTATACCTAATTTATAAAGAAGGGGTTTTTTTTTATATCATGAAGGGATGTTGTATTTTATCAAAAGCTTTTCCTGCATCTATGGAGATGATAAAATGATTTTTGTCCTTCATTCTATTAATGTGATATATGGCATTTTTTGATTTGTGTATATTGAACTATCCTTGCATTCCTGGGATACATCCTATTTGATCATGGTGTATTAGCTTTTTGATGTGTTGTTGGATTCAGTTTGCTAGTATTTTGTTGAGGATTTTTGCATCTAGGTTCAACAGGGATATTCGCTTGTAATTTTCTTTTTTATGTTGTGTCCTTTTCTGGTTTTGGTATCAGGGTTATGTTAGCCTCATAGAATTAGGAAGAACTCCCTCTGCTTCCACTTTCTGGAATCAATTGAGAAAGATTAGTATTAATTCTTCTTTAAAGATTCAGTAGAATTCAATGGTAAAGTCATCCAGTCCTAGGCTTTTCTTTGTTGGAAGACATTTTATTACTGGTTCAGTCCCACTATTTGTAACTGGTCTGTTTATGTTTTCTACTTAATCTTGGTTCAACCTTGACAGGTTGCATGTGTTCCAGAATTTATTCATTTCCTCTAGGTTTTTAAATTTATTAGCATATAATTGTTTGTAGTAGTGTCTAATGATCCTTTGTACTTCTGTGGTATTCTCTGTGATGTCTTTTGCATTTCTGATTTCACTTATTTGGGTATTTTCTCTTTTTTGCTTAGTCTAGCTGATGGTTCGTTGATTATACCTTCTACAAAAAACAATTTTTTGTTTCATTAATCTTTTGTAATTTTTAGTCTCAATATCATTTATTTGTGCTCAGATCTTTATTCTTTCTTTTCTTCTATTAATTTTGGGTTTGGTTTGTTCTTGCGTTTCTAGTTCTTTCAGGTAATTAGGTTGTTTATTTGAAATCTTTCTAGTTTTTTGATGTAGGTATCTGTTGTTATAAACTTGCATCTTAATATTGCTTTTGCTATGTTCAACAAGTTTTGGTATGTTGTGTTTCTACCTTCATTTGTTTCAAGGAATTTTAAGTTTTCATTCTTAATTTCTTCCTTCATCCATTGGTCTCTCAGGGGATGTTGTTTACTTCCCAAGTATTTGTATAATATCTAATGTTTCTCTTGTTATTGATACGTAGTATGTAGTCTTGGTCCATTGTGGTCAGATAAGATACTTAATTTCAATTTTCAAACATTTTTAAAGCTTGTTTTCTGTCCTAACATATGGTCAATCCCAGAGAATGTTCCAGGTGCTGATGAAAAGAATGCATATTCTGCGGCTGTTAGATGAGGTATTCTGTAAATGTCTGTTAGGTCCATTTGGTCTGTGGTGCAGTTTAAATCCAATATTTGTTTGTTGACTATCAGTCTAGATGATATGTCCAATGCTGAGAGTGGGGTATTGAAGTCTCCAACTATTTGGGCTGATGCATAAGTTCATAGCATTTTTTGCTTGCCCATGGAATGCAAATATTATGTGATAGCTGACGGGTCACAGTTCATCACATTTACCAATTCTAGGGTTGACTGACATGGATCATTGTGGATTAAAGCATTGACACAGTCTTCATCAAAGCTCAGTGGTCTCTGAAAGGACAACACCATTTTCCTGCCATTCTTTCCCCAACAGCATTCTCCCTATACACAGTACAAATGTTTGAGCCACCTCTACTGCCTTTACTCCTCTGTTAAAGTCAAACAGAAGAATATGCCAAAAGGGTTTGTTTTTTCCCACTTGACACTCCATTTTCTTTAGCCCACAAATAGCACTAACTTTCTTCAAATCTACAAAATGCAAGGTATATTCACAAGCACAGCACAGTCATTCCAAATAATAAACTCCCAACGCTGTAGTATTGCCAAGCCAAACACAAATGCTACAAACTTATGCATCAACCTAATACTATTGTATTGGGGTTTATCTCTTCCTTTAGATCTAATGATATTTGCTTTATATATTTGGGTGCCCCAGTGTTGGGGCCTTATTTACAAATGTTATATTCTCTTGCTGAGTTGATTCCTTCATTATTATATAATGTACTTCTTTGCCTCTTTTTATAGGTTTTAATTTGAAGTCTGTTTTGCCTGATACTAGTTACTCTGGTTTGGTTTTTGTTTCCATTTGCATGAAATATCATTTTCCATCCCTTCACATTCAGTCTCTGTGTCTCTTTACAAGTGAGGTGAGTTTCTTGTAGAGCATATAGTTGAGTCTTTTTCTAATCCATTCAGCCAGTCTATATATTTCAAGGAGAGAATTTAGTCCATTTACATTCAAGGTTATTACTGATAGGTGAGAACTTACTCTTGTTATTTTATGGTTTTTTGTTTTTTTTTTTTTGGTTGTGTGGTTATGATTGTCTTCTGGTTGTCTCTTATATTCTTTGTTTCTTACTTCCTCTCTTATTGCTTATTTCTGTGGTTGGGTGGTTTTCTGAAATGAAAAGTTTCAATTCCTCTCTCTTTCTCCTTTCTGTATTGGCTCTACTGACGAGTTTTATAGTTTTGCGTGTTTTTATGCTGATAGTTATCATATTTTCACTTCTAGATGTAAGACTCCCTTGAGCATTTCCTGTAAGTCTGGGCAAGTGATGATGAATTCCCTCAGTTTTTTATTATCTGTAAAAGATATTATTTTTCCTTCATTTCTGAAAGATAACTTTGCGGGGTATCATATTCTTGGGTCATCATTATTTTTGTTTTTTCTTTCAGTATTTTTAATATATCATCCCATTCTCTCCTGACCAGTAAGGGTTCTGCTAAGAAAACTGTGAGTCTAATGAAGATTTCCTTATATGTGACTTGATACTTTTTCTGCTTTTAAATTATTTGTCTTCTCTGACTTATATGACAATTTAACTAAAATGTGCCACAGAGAGGACTTTGGGTTGAATCTACTTGGGTCTTTTGTGATTCCTACACCCAATGTCCATCTCTCTTGCAAAACTTGGCAAATTTTCTGCTATTTTTTCATTAAATGTGTTTTCCTACCTTTTCCTTTCTCTTCTCTTTCTGGAATGCCCACAATACAACCCTGTAGGCTGTTTATTCTCTCTCTCTCCCTCTCTCTCTCTGTGTGTGTGTGTGTGTGTGTGTGTGTGTGTGTGTGTGTGTGTGTGTGTGTGTATGTGTGTAAGGTCAGAATTTTTTCTTCTGCTTGGTCTAGTCGGTTGTTGAAGCTCTTTGCTGTACTTTCTGTTTCATTAATTGAATTTTTCCACTCTAGGATTTGTTTCTTTTTTTATGATATCTTTGTTATATTCCTCATTTAAATCATTATTGTTTTCCTGATTTTGTTGAATTACCTATACTCTCTTGTATCTCACTGGATTTCCTTAAGATTATTGTTTTAAATTCTTTTTTGGAAACAAAATAAAATAAATAAAAATAAATTCTTTTTCTGGCATTTCATACATTTCCTTATAATTGAGAACTGTTCATGTTTTTCTTTGGAGGTTAAATGTTTTGTTGCATTTTCATGGTGACACCCCTACACTGACTTCTGCACATTTGATGGAAAAGTTTCCTTTCTAAATATTATGGAGTAGGTTCCACAGGGAAAGACTTATTTGTATAAATGGGTTTTGAGACATTGGTTTATGAGATGTGTTGGACTTTGATATAGTTTTGATGTTTGTCACCTATAAATATCATGTTGAAATGTGATCCTCAGTGTTGGAGGCAGGGCCTAATGGAAGATGTTTGGGTCATAGGGAAAATCCCCCGTGAATGGCTTGGTACTGTTTTTGAAGTAATAAGTTCACATGAACACTATCTGTTTAAATGAGCCTCCCTCTCCACCTCCCTCTCCTGCTTCCTCTTTTGCCATGAGACATGCCTGCTCGCCCTTCACCTTCTGCCATGATAGAAAGCTTCCTGAGGCCCCACCAGAAGCAGATGCTGGCAGTATGCTTCTAGTAAAGTCTTCAGAACCATGAGCCAAAATAAACCTCTTTTCTTTACAAATTACCCAGCCCCAGGTATTCTTTTATAGCAATACAAAAAAGACTAACACAGTATTGGTTCTAAGCGGACATAGTAGTATACTCTGCATAGTTTCTTCAACTATAATCCATACTAGTGGCATTTGTTAATTTTCTCAGCAGCCTAGGCTGAGAGAGTGTGTGATGACAATGATGTAGCATTGCTGGGATGGACTCACCAGGCTGCTTCTCAGGTCATTGATGCATATGTGCACATTGTGTGTCAGCTACCTTGAGGTCTGGCTTGTTGGGGTTGGAGCCACGGGGCTATTTCTCAGGTTGGAAGAGTGGGTATATAGCTGTTCAGCTGACCTGGAGGCATTCTTGCAAGAGTGGCCCATAAGGCTGTTTCTTAGGCCCGGGACGCAGATGTAGAGCTGCTTGGCCAGCCTACAGCCTTGTCCACCATGGACAGTGTAGAGAGAGATGTTTCTCATTCCAGGGACATGGACATACAGCTGCTTGACCAGCCTGA